CTCCTCCTCCTCCTCCTGATCCTCCACCAGCCTCCTCCCCCCCTCCAACTTATGGTGGTGGTGGTGGAGAACAGGTCCATCAGGCTCGGTGGCACGGTGTCCGCTTGCGCGGCCCGCGTGGAGCTCGTCTGGCGGCCGGATGTTACCACCGCGCGGACGAACAGAGCGAACAAGGGCATTGAGCACAGACGCGGAAGTATGCAACGGAGCATAGGACGAAAATAAAAATCACGTTGTAAGTTGCTCATAGTCTCGTAGTCCGAGTCGTCACCTCCAACAGCCGTAGACGCCTGTGTGAGGAAGCAGACTGGGAGAGACTTCCTGCGTTGGTCTTCCAAGATCCTCCTCGTCCTCGTGCGCCGTCTGCGACGGAGCGGTCCATTCACGGAGGTCCCACGCACGAAACCGAAAAAAGCACAGGGAATGGACGTCCGAGCGATGGCAGGCTCAGGCTCAACATGTCTCTGGGGGCCTCTGGGCATCTCCGAGGCTTGTGGGTGGGCCCGAGGCCCAAACATCGCCCTGACGCATCGGTCCTCGACCCTCGATCTCCCCTCCGTCCTCGGCGACGCCGCCGCCGCCGACGGCGACGGCGGTCGACGACCTCCTCCTCCTCCTCCTCCTCCTCCTCCTCCTCCTCCTCCTCCTCCTCCTCCTCCTCCTCCTCCTCCTCCTCCTCGGTCGACGAGGCACCTCGCCGACGTGCAGACGGCCGTGCCAGACCTCGGGCCCGGGCGTGCCGCCCCCTGCGGCGTGCGGTGGCGGCAGCCGAGGGGAAGCCCTGCGCCCTGCCGCGCTCGGCCGTGGCCCCTCGCTGCAGTGCAGGCGTCCATCTTCCGGCCCATCGGGGGCAACCAGTGCAACCTGACAGTGGCCGGCACAGCGAGGCCAGGGATGGGAGAGAAGGAGAGGGAGCAGCGGGAGGAGGAGCAGCGGGAGGAGGAGCAGCGGGAGGAGGAGCAGCGGGAGGAGGAGCAGCGGGAGGAGGAGCGGGAGGAGCAGCGGGAGGAGGAGCAGGAGGAGGAGGAGCAGGAGGAGGAGGAGGAGGAGGAGGAGGAGGAGGAGGAGGAGCAACGGGAGGAGGAGCAGGAGGAGGAGGAGAATCACCAGGGACCTCATAGAGACCTTTTTTTTGTTGGAGGCCCCCGGAGACCACCACAGAGGCCCCATGGACGCAGGGGAGGAGAGGGAGGCGGCGCGTGGCAGCAGGTAACGGATGTGGCACGCGTTTGCCCCTAGCGAGCAACAGAATCGGCGTGTGCTCCTCCCTGCGCGCTGCTTTACCCCTCTTTTCCCTGCTCCTCCGGCGCGTAAGAAGGCAAGTCAGGGCTGGGCAGGCCACGGCGGTAGGCGAGTGCTTCGTGGCCAGCATTCGCATTGATTCTAGGAAGGCACAGGTACGTGCACGCATGGGGAATGGAGAGCTCTTTCGAGGATCGTCGAACTGCGCGCGAGCATCAGTTGAGATACAGTGCGACGATGTTGGTACGAGCGGTGCGAGAGAAGCGAGAAGACGGACGACTTACGCCCTCCCACTCTGCATTTGCTTGCCCACCCCATTCACTCCCATAACGTCCATCCCGTTCCTCCTCGAGCTTTCCGAGCGGTGGAGTTGGGAGGAGAAGGCCAGGAGTGTTACCGCCAGCAGTCCGTAGCCATTTTGGCTCAAGGTGGCCGTGGGCTCGGGGCTCGAGTGTCGAGCCCGGCGGCTTGGCACAGCGTTTGGCGGGCGCGCGCGGGCGGCGCGCGCCATAGCGCGGCGCTGATCGGGTGCATGCAGCACAGCGGCCATGCCGAAGCGTGCCTGCCGGGCGGGCAGGCCGCGGCCTGGCTGTGCGTCCCGGTGTCCTGCCTCCCCGCTGGCTGGAGATGGCGGCTGCACGCGACCCACGTCCAGTGTGGGGGCGTGCCCCTGGCACCTGGATGCTTGGCCGCTCCCGCCGCCGTGGAGGGCCCAAGGGCAGCCGCAGGTGGCAGCGCCGACGCGGGCGGCGTGGCGCCCCGCGGCGGCGCCGGCGGGGGTCCTGGGGGGATCCGGGCCGCCGAGGCCGCCGGCAGCCCCCAGTCGATCGAGGGAAGGCTGCCCCGGAGGTGCCGGAGGCGCCGAGGCCAACGGCAGCCCCTGGTCGAAGGACTGCTGCACCCCCCGCGAAGGCTCGGCCGGCGTCGAGGACAGCTCCCGCAGGGGACTCGCCGCTGGCGACGCCGAGTGCGGCCACGCTCCACCCGGCACCACAGGCGCCCCCCGGCGCGGGCAGGGCGGCGGCGCGGGCGCACGCCGCAGGGCGCCCCTTCAGCCCAGGAGCCGCGGGAGGCGAGCTGCCGGGCACCGCCCGCGCCTGCGCCGGCGCAGGGCGCGGTTTCCCAGCAGCAGCCCCAGCGCCCGAGCGCCTCGGCTCCTCCAGCACACAAAAGGAAGGGGGCGAGGGAGGAGCAGAAGAGGGGAGGAGCAGGAGGAGGGGGAACAGAAGAGGATGAGGAAGGGAAGGAAAGGGGGTTCGGGGACGGGGGAGGCGGGGACGATGGTGATAATGAGAGTGATGGTGAGGATGATGATGAGGATGTTGATGATGATGCTGATGGTGCTGGTCATCTTGTTAATGATGGTTCTGGTGATATGTGATGACGGTGATGGTGATGATGATTGTGGTGGTGGCGATGGTGGTGGTGATTGTGATGGTGGAAATGGTTGTGATAGTGATGGTGGTGATGGTGGTGATGATGGTGATGGTGACAGTGATGGTGATGGTGAATGTGATGGTGATGTTGATGATGAGGATGTTGATGATGATGTAATTGGTGCAGGTCATCTTGTTAATGATGGTTATGGTAATGGTGATGACGGTGATGGTGGTGATGATTGTGATGGTGGTGATGGTTGTGGTGATTGTCATGGTGGTGATGGTGATGGTGATGATGATGGTGATGGTGATGATAATGGCGATGTTGATGATAATGAGGGTGAGGGTGATGGTGATGGTGATGGTGATTATGATGATGATGATGATGATGATGATGATGATGATCATGATCATGATCATGATCATGATCATGATCATGATCATGATCATGATTATCATGATGATCATGGTAATGGTGATGGTGATGGTGATGGTGATGGTGGTGTTGGTGATGGAAGTGGTGGTGGTGGTGGTGATCATGAGGAGGATGGTGATGATGATGGCAATGTTGAGGAGGAAGAGGAGGAGGATTTCCTCCTTCCCTTCAGGAGGAGGAGGAGGAGGAGGAGGAGGAAGAGGAGGAGGAGGAGGAGGAGGAGGAGGAGGAGGAGGAGGAGGGGGAGGGGGAGGGAGAGGACCAGAGGAGGAGACCCCGCAGGTCTCGGGCGCACCACCGCCACTACACCGCCAAGAGGGCCGCCAAGGCCCGCCGTGGCGCTCCCGACCGGCCGCCGCTGGCGAGGGCTTCTCCCCAGGTCCCTCGTGCCCCCTCCGCCCTTGGGAGCGGCGTTGGCTGCGCGAAAAAAGTGACCTTTCGCCAGGGTGACCTTTTTGGTGCGGGCCTCCATGATCGACCAGGGAACGGCGCATAAGCGCTCTCATTTCCGATGTAGCATGCCGCGCTGGCGCCCCGTGTAAGCCACCGCGTCAGGTCGCTATGTCATCGAGCGTGGGACCGCTTTCCGTTTGTTGCTCACACGGGTCCCCCCGGACTTGCCTTGCGCGCTTGGATTCGTTTAGCCCGCGGCGCCTTGCGCCAAAACGCGCGCCGAAGGTCACTTTTGTCTACTGTGATACCGCCGGTGATAAGTGGATAGGGGGATAGAAGTGGAGGCTAAAGCGGGTTATATCTGGCCAGACCCAGTTTACACATGGGTTAAAAGTGCCCAGGCCCTAAGTGGCTTGTGTGGGTTCGATAATTCCGCTAAGTGGGCGGAGCCCACTTGGCCCTGCTTTGTCCCTCGAACCCACTTTAGGAACTTCTAGCTCAGTGTGTAAAAGGGTGGAACAAAACCACCACCCCGACCACCAGAATGGGCGTTTACTAAACGCCCCTGGGCGTTTGCTAAACAGCCCTATCATGCTCGATTCCTCCCTTGGGTGCTTTTACTAACGCCTTCGCTTGCTTGTCGGGGTGCTTGTGATGATGGTGGTGCTCCTGCTCTCGCAAAGAGGCTATGCCAGGCCGCATGCAGGGCACACCTTCGCATCCACGTATAGCCCCGTAGCTCCTCAGCCACCCTCCGCGGCGATTCAAGTAGAGTCGCTATAGCGTGCTGCCCCTGGGGGCTCCTTACCGACTCCGAGGCCTCCTCTTATTTCTTCGAGTCCGACTCCGACGCCTGCTCGCATTTTTGCTCCGACGCCTGCTCGTATCTCTCCGACCTTCCGACTCCGACGCCTGCTCGTTCTCCGATCCTGCTCTCTGAAACCCGACTCCAGCATCTGAGCGGGCTTCAGCTTCTCGGCGCTTTGGCGCCACCGCCGGGCTCTCGTAGGGCCGCCCCCTCTGGGGCGACACACCGGCGCCTCGCCTCCTCCTCCTCCTCCTCCTCCTCCTCCTCCTCCTCCTCCTCCTTCTCCTCCTCCTCCTCCTCCTCCCCCGCCTCCTCCTCCCCCTCCTCCTCCTCCTCCTCCTCCTCCTCCTCCTCCTCCTCCTCCTCCTCCTCCTCCGGCGGCTGACCAGCGCGAGGAGGCAGCGGGGGAGGCGAGGGCGGGGCTCGGGCATCTCGCACGGGCAGGTCCGGGCAGGGCAACCGGAGGGGGGGGAGAACTGCCAGGGCCTCGGGCTCCGCACGGGCAGCTCCTGCACAGCCCTGGGAATCTAAAACGACGCGAAGATCGGGACAAAATCGGATCGGGATAATTCGAAATCTCTGAGAATCGGCGGGTTTGGAGGATGTATTGGGCGCCGCGGCCGCTCCAGAGCGTTCCGGAACGCTCTGAGAGCGCTCCGGAACGCTCTGGAGCGATTTATCCCGATCCTAGCTTTGTTTTAGGGAAAGAAATACAACTTGAATCGTCGATTGATGTGTTGTCGTCGCCTTTCGGATGTTCGATCTTGGTGGCCTCTGGGAGCCGCGTTCGGGCCCCGGGAGCGTCAGAAGCGGACCCGGGGTGAAAAACTACCCCCCGGGGAAGTCCCCTGGAAGATTCGTCGACGCGACCTGCAAAAATCGCATTCCTTTTTCAAGGGGGTGCAGGGGCAGTCCGAGGAGGCCTCGGCTGGCCGCCATGGGCACTTCTGGGTGGTTGCAGCACGCCAGCACTGCAGCATCTGGTGGCGCCCATGCGGCGTCCCCGTGCCGTCTCTGCGCAGACGCGGAGTTGAGGGAGGCGGGGGACGGACCAAGGTCAGACCTGAGCTCTCTGCTGCCGTTTCTGCGATCAGAAGCATCCCGACGGCGGTGCCTGGAAGGGCTCCCCTGCAGACGAGCACCCTGCTCGGCGCTGATTCTCTCCTGCGCTTTTCCACTGTCCACCTCCCCCTCCCATTCCCCCTGCAGCTGCGCAAGCCAAATGTAGCACCACCCCGAGCAGAGCCTGGACCACGCGGGAGGTGGCACCCGTTCACAAGGAAGACATAAGGAGGAGCAACCAACGACGACCCTCCCTCCAAGCTCCCTCTTCACATGCCCCTGCAACGGTTCATTTCCACTGAGGGAACTGCCTCGTTGGAAGACAACCGTTTGAAGACCCTGAAGTCTGCCAAAACATTGTTCTTGGGATTCCAACGCCACGGATCAACCTGACTGTTGCGTCTTGACGATCCTGAATCGCTCCAGCACCATTCCTAGGAGTTCAACACCGCGAATCAACGTAACTTTTGCGCCCTCGTAGTCTTGAGCCCGTCCAAAACATTATCTCTTGCACGTTGAGCACTGGAATCTGTGAAACTCTTGCAAATGTTAAAAACGAATGTGCGCGGTTCTACGGGTAGAGAACGGACCGCCTTGAATCGTGAAACTCTTGCAAATGATTAGAACGAATGTGCGCGGCGCTAAGGCTAGAGCCACAATGTGAAAACGACCCGCCCTCCATCTGTGAAGCTGTTGCCATGGTTTCAGTTTCAAGGTCATCAGTGGTGAGCAAGTCTCAGGCGAAACGCCCGGCCCGCCCAAAAAACTGGCTTCGGGGTGCGACATGGAGAACTTATGTATTAGGAAAAGGAATGGAGGAGCAGGGGATTGCGTGTGTGGGGGCGAGCTGACCGCCCTTGGCATCAGAATTCCTCCTTGAGCGACGCAGGCGGCGAAGAGGGCGGCGAAGAAGGCGGACCCTCCCGGCTTCAAGAACGACGCCTACGTGGAGCTCAGGAGCCGCCCATTGGGCTTTCTCCCCTCCCTCCTCACCACAGGCTGACGATGAGCCTTCATTCCGATCCGATCCCTCGTCCCCCTCCTCGCTCGTCCTCCTCCTCGCTCCTCCCCGCTCCTCCTCCTCCTCCTCCTCCTCCTCCTCCTCCTCCTCCTCCTCCTCCTCCTCCTCCCAGTACGGCCCCCTTGCACTGCATGGCGTAGCGTGGCCTAGGAGCGGGAGGAGAGAAGGAGGAGGAGGAGGAGGAGGAGGAGGAGGAGGAGGAGGAGGAGGAGGAGGAGGGGAGTCGTCCCCTGAGCCAAGGCCGGGGGGGAGGCAATCGAATCATAAAAATTGCATAAACGAAAATGTTTGACGGTCCGCGGGGATTTCTGGGATCTGCGCTGGACCGCCCTGGCGGCGCCTCCGGCGCCGCTCCTGGCGCGCCCCGCGCGCCTGGGAGGGGGGGCCAGGGCGGATTCAAAAAATCCGCGCGGACCTCAAAACGCCAGGGAGGGGAGCGAGGAAGGATCCACCCCCACTGCGGAGGCAGCGCTTTCGTGGGGGGGGGGAGGTCACCACCCACCAAACCACCCCAACCCAACCCGAAGGCTTCGATTTGCCCTCCATTTCCCGTTGGGGGGGTCGGGGAACATGGGAGAAACACATCTGGAACCCGTACCCCCCCCCAACCCGAAAGTTCGGGTCTCCGGGTTGGGTTGGGGTGGTCCTGGTATAGGCAGTCGGGCGGAGCGCGGGGCCGACGAGGCCGATCCGTCGTCCACCCTGCACAGGCCTCGCGGCCCCTCCATCCCCTCCCCCCCCACTCTGCCTCCACGACGCCTCTTCGCCGCCCCATCCCCGCCTCCCCCTCCTCCTCGTCCTCCTCCCCTTCCTTCTCCTCCTCCTCCTCCGCCCCCTCCTCCTCCTCCTCCTCCTCCTCCTCCTCCTCCTCCTCCTCCTCGTCCTCCTCGTCCTCCTCCTCCTCCTCCTCCTCCTCCTCGACAGCTTCCGCGCGACAGCATCCGGAGCCGCCCCCAAGCTTCCAACGACTTTGACCCTCGAGAGCGAGCAGGAGGCCCAGGACGAGGCCGAGCAGGAGGAGCTGCCGCCACTGGAGCGCTCGAAACACGTCGAAGAAGAGGCGAAGGAGGAGGAGGAGGCGGAGGAGGAGTTGGAGAAAGAGGTCTCGACCCCCTTTCCTGGGCGTGGTTACCATCCGAGTCGTTGTTTTGACCGGGCG